ATAATATATATAATTGCTATAATTTGGTATAATATATATATTTGCTATAATTTGGTATAATATATATAATTGCTATAACTTGGTATAATATATATATTTGCTATAATTTGGTATAATATATATAATTGCTATAATTTGATATAATATATATAATTGTTATAATTTGGTATAATATACATAATTGCTATAACTTGGTATAATATATATATTTGCTATAATTTGCTATAATATATATAATTGTATATTGCTATATATAATTGCTATAATTTGGTATAATATAAATATTTGCTATATTTTGCTATAATATAAACAATTCCTATAACTCGCTATAATACATATAATTGTATATTGCTACATACAATTGCTATAACATTTCATTTCGCCTTTTCACGTCGACGATCAATCGACGCGCCTCCAAAATCACAGCAAAATCATGCTCGAGCCGCTGCGAAAACGGAAAAACACCGGCTCCAAAATATGCAGCAAATAAATGCATAAAACGAATAAACAATATACATACATACATACATACATACATACATACATACATACACATCCGACCACCGAAAAAACGATCGATTATATCGCTCGACCATGTCACGGCGAGATTGGCCCGGCCAATTTTTGAGCGAATACACACACACATACATACATAAAAAAAATAAATACATACATACACACATACATGTACATGGAAGGATTCTCGGACAATGTTGCCGGGGACAAGGCAAATATCTAATAATTACCGTTGGTTAGGAGGCAGGCCCGTACGATTTGCATTCAGATAATTTGGATGTCACAAAATTTTACGAGCCGATCACCCGGTACCTGGTACTGGATACCCAAAGCACGTCCCCTGTCCGCCGGACGAGGATGGAGAAAGAAATTATCGGCGATTTAAGGCTGATTCCCCTGATCGGTCGACGCCTTCTCGGCCGGCATGCTCGCGCGCGCGCACACATACATACGAAAGCTCGCGATACACGCTCGCGCGCGCGCGCACACGTAGAAAACCGGCTTATAGGGCCACGGCCACGGCTCGGAGTGGTTATTACGGTT